CCGGTAGTAGAATAATGTTAATAAGTATTATTAACACGTCTTGCTCCTTTATCTGGCGTCTATCCTGGAAGACCACGCCAGGAACAGAGCTGGTAAATAAGAGAAAATAAACTGGTTACCCATAGTTATGATAATATAACATTTAAGAATTGAAAAGAATGATAAATGCCAAAATCATTACTGGTAACCAGCAAACAAAATAAAGAAACAAACAGTGATACTCCTGGAATATCAGCCTACCTGATTAGGAGAAGAGTGGAGGTGAAGTGACTCTCCAAACTTCAACCCACACCAGGTAAGGTCAATATTACCAGGAGTAGAAACTAACAAATCGGACACCAGGAACTAGTTTCGCCCCAGCCCGCCAGAGAGGAGGGGGGGGTGCACGCGACGTAACTAATGGTTCCTGGTTGCCCGAACAACCTTAACCCCACTTACACTACTTTTCCCTCACAATATATATATATTATATATATATATATATATATATATATATATATATATATATATATATATATATATATAATATATATATACATACATATTCAACAAGTTGGCCGTCTCCCACCGAGGAAGAGTGACCCAAAGAGAAAGAAAATCCCCCAAAAGAAAATACTTTCATCATCATTCAACACTTTCACCTCACTCACACATAATCACTGTTTTTACAGAGGTGCTACAACAGTTTAGAAGCATATACATATAAAGATACACAACATATCCCTCCATACTGCTCATATCCCGAAACCCCTCCTTTAGAGTGCAGGCATTGTACTTCCCATTTCCAGGACTCAAGTCTGGCTATATAAAAATAACCGGTTTCCGTGAATCCCTTCACTAAATATTACCCTGCTCACACTCCAACAAATCGTCAGGTCCCAAATATCATTCGTCTCCATTCACACTTATTGAATACGCTCAAGCACGCCTGCTGGAAGTCCAAGCCCCTCGCCCACAAAACCTCCGTTACCTCTTCCTTCCAACCTTTTTGAGGACGACCCATACCCCGCCTTCCTTCCCCTACAGATTTAAATGCTCTCCATGTCATTCTACTTTGATCCTTTCTCTGTAAGTGACCAAACCACCTCACCAACCCCTCTTCAGCCCTCTGACTAATACTGTTATTAACTCCACACCTTCTCCTAATTTCCACACTCTGAATTTTCTGCATAATATTTACACCACACACATTGCCCCTAGACAGGACATCTCCACTGCCTCCAACCGCCTCCTCGCTGCTGCATTCACAACCCAAGCTTCACACCCATATAAGAGTGTTAACATTCACTTCTTCAATACTCCTCCTCCCCAATTTGATATCCAATTTTTCTTTATCTGAATCATTTGATACCCTCATCACCTTACTCTTTTCTATGTTCACTTTCAGCTTTCTACCTTTACATACACACCCAAACTCATCCACTAACCTTTGCAGTTTTTCTTTAGAATCTCCCATAAGCACAGTATCATCAGCAAAAAGCAACTGTGTCAATTCCCATTTGGTGTGTTTGATTCCCCATAATTTAATCCCACCTCTCTCCCAAACACCCTAGCATTTACTTCTTTTACAACCCCATCTATAAATATATTAAACAACCATGTTGACATTACTATATCCCTGTCTAGACCTACTTTTACTGGAATTTAGTCTCCTCTCTTTACAACACACCCTAACCTGAGCCTCACTATCTCATAAAAACTCTTTACAGCCTTTAGTAACTTACCACCTATTCCATATACAGTGGACCCCCGCATAACGATTACCTCCGAATGCAACCAATTATGTAAGTGTATTTATGTAAGTGCGTTTGTACATGTATGTTTGGGGGTCTGAAATGGACTAATCTACTTCACAATATTTCTTATGGGAACAAATTCGGTCAGTACAGGCACCTGAACATACTTCTGGAGTGAAAAAATATCGTTAACCGGGGGTCCACTGTACTTGCAACATCTGCCACATTGCTCCCCTATCCACTCTATCATATGCCTTTTATAAATCCATAAATGCAATAAAAACTTCCCTACCTTTATCTAAATACTGTTCACATATATGCTTCAATGTAAATGCTTGATCTACACATCCCCTACCCACTCTAAAACCTCCTTGCTCATCGGCAATCCTACATTCTGTCTTACCTCTAATTCTTTCAAATATAACCCTACCTTACACTTTTCCTGGTATACTCAGTAAACTTATTCCTCTATAATTTTTATAGTCTCTTTTGTCCCCCTTCCCTTTATATGAAGAGACTATACATGCTCTCTGCCAATCCCTAGGTACCTTCCTCTTTCATATATTTATTAAACAAAAATACCAACCACTTCAACACTATATCCCCCCTGCTTTTAACATTTCTGTCATGATCCCATCAGTTCCAGCTGCTTTACCCCCTTTCATTCTACGTAATGCCTCACGCACCTCCCCCACACTCACATCCTGTTCTTCTTCACTTCTAAAAGATTGTATACCTCCCTGGCCAGTGCATGAAATTACCACTTCCCTTTCTTCGTCGACATTTAAAAGTTCCTCAAAATATTCTCGCCATCTACCCAAAACCTCCATCTCCCCTTCTACTAACTCCCCTACTCTGTTTTTAACTGACAAATCCATTCGTTCTCTAGGCTTTCTTAACTTGTTTAACTCACTCCAAATTTTTTTCTTATTTTCATTAAAATTTCTTGACAGTGCCTCTCTCACTCTATCATCTGCTCTCCTTTTGTACTCTCTCACCACTCTCTTTACCTTTTGTTTACTCTCCATATACTCTACTCTTCTTATAACACTTCTGCTTTGTAAAAACCTCTCATCAGCTAACTTTTTCTCTTTTGTCACACCCTTTACTTCATCATTCCACCAATCACTCCTCTTTCCTCCTGCACCTACCCTCCTATAACCACAAACTTCTGCCCCACATTCTAATACTGCATTTTTAAAACTATTCTAACCTTCTTCAACCCCCCCACTACTCATACTTGCACCAGCCCACCTTTCTGCCAATAGTTGCTTATATCTCACCCGATCTTCCTCCTCCCTTAGTTTATACACTTTCACCTCCCTCTTGCTTGTTGTTGCCATTTTCCTCTTTTCCCATCTACCTCTTTCTCTAACTGTAGCTACAACTAAATAATGATCCGATATATCAGTTGCCCCTCTATAAACGTGCACATCCTGGAGCCTTCCCATCAACCTTTTATCCACCAATACATAATCAAACAAACTACTTGCATTACATGCTATATCATACCTTGTATATTTATTTATCCACTTCTTCATAAAATATGTATTACTTATTACCAAACCTCTTTCTACACATTGCTTAATTAAAGGCTCCCTATTTTCATTTACCCCTGGCACCCCAAATTTACCTACTACTCCCTCCACAACATTTTTGCCCACTTTAGCATTGAAATCCCCAACCACAAGTACTCTCACACTTGGTTCAAAACTCCCCACATATTCACTCAACATTTCCCAAAATCTCTCTCTCTCTACACTTCTCTTTTCTCCAGGTGCATATACGCTTACTATAACCCACTTTTCACATCCATCGGTTATTTTACTCTACATAATCCTTGAATTAATACATTTATAGTCCTTCTTTTCCTGCCATAACTTATCCTTCAACATTATTGCTGCTACTTCTTTAGCTCTAACTCTATTTGTAACCCCTGACCTAATCCCATTTATTCCTCTCCACTGAAACTCTCCCACCCCCGTCAGCTTTGTTTCACTTAAAGCCAAGACATCCAGCTTCCTCTCATTCATAATATCCACAGTCATCTTTTTCTTATCATTTGCACAACATCCACGCACATTCAGACTTCCCACTTTGACAGTTTTCTTCTTATTCTTTTTAGTAATTATTACTGGAAAAGGGGTTACTAGCCCATTGTTCCCGGCATTTTAGTTGACTTTTACAACACGCATGGCTTATGGAGGAAAGATTCTTATTCCACTTCCCCATGGATATAAAAGGAAAAGTAATGAGACCAAGAACTATTAGGATAAAATCAAAGAAAACTCAGAAGAGTGTGTATAAATAAACATGTACATGTATGTGTAGTGTGACGTAAGTGTAAGTAGAAGTAGCAAGACGTACCTGTAATCTTGCATATTTATGAGACAGACAAAAGACACCAGCAATCCTACCATCATGTAAAACAATTACAGGCTTTCGTTTCACACTCACTTGGCAGGACGGTAGTACCCCCCTGGGTGGTTGCTGTCTACCAGCCTACTACCTATAATAGATATCCACAGATATGTTGTATTATTCTAGGTAGTAGGTTGGTAAACAGCAACCGCCCAGGGAGGTACTACCGTCCTGCCAAGTGAGTGTACAACGAAAACCTGTAATTGTTTTACTTGATGGTAGGATTGCTGGTGTCCTTTGTCTGTCTCATAAACATACAAGATTTCAGGTATGTCTTGTTACTTCTACTTGCACTTAGGTCACACTACACATACATGTACAAGCATATATATACACACCCGTCTAGGTATTATTCTATTTTCTTTCTAGTTCTTGTTCTTGTTCATTTCCTCTTATCTCCATGGGGAAGTTGAACAGAATTCTTCCTCCGTAAGCCATGCATGTTGTAAGAGGCGACTAAAATGCCGGGAGCAAGGGGCTAGTAACCCCTTCTCCCGTATAAATTACTAAATTTAAGAGAAAATTTCGTTTTTGGGCCACCCTGCCTTGGTGGGATACGGCCGGTGTGTTGAAAGAAAGAAAGAAATGTTGTATTATTTATTATCCCAGGGCTGTATTTTCATGAGCTGTTCTCTTGTTTGATATGATTGTGGCAGATTCTTTAATGTGCATGTAAAGAATGGTTATGTAATTAAGATTTCTTTCTGACAGTATTTATTACATTGGCAATGTTAAGCTTGGCAAAAATGTATCTTGCATAACAAAAAAAGTTTTTGTAATGATTGTATGTATCATATTCCCCCCCAACCACCCATTAATGTTTTTATTCTTTAAATACCTCAGTTTCAACAGGTCTGGATTTACCTTGCATTGATTTAGTTATTGTAACACCACCGGATGTTAGTGATGATGCAACATTAGAGAGCCTGGAACCAATGTGGCAAGGTCTAGAGGATGCTGTGAGCAGAGGAACTGTGGCTTCCATTGGCTTAGCAGATGTCTCCACTAAACTTTTTACTGAACTGTATGAATGGGCCAAGGTAAGCTTCCTACTATGATTTTTTTTTTTTTTTTGTGGTTTCCATACAAATGCCATATCATTAATTGAAATTACATCTTTGAATTTACTTGAAACTTATAATTGTCATCTTATGCATAGCAATAGTGGAGTGTGATTTGTTGAAACTTACTGCATGAAGTAGCTAAGAATGAACCTACTCTCTTTGAGATATTGTTTTGAGTTCTTGAGATGTACGCTAATTCTGAGCCTTGCCCTGTATTGTTCTCTGAAGTTGCATGCATATTCAAATCTTATTGGGAGATGCTGGGGAAAGGATGGTGGACTTTGAGAGATTTGTTAGAATATAACAGACATCTACTCATCTGTTACCATTAGTATCTCCATTAAACTATATTAATTTGTAACTAGTACACCTGTGTGCCAATCACTTTAATTAACTGCAGTTAATTTTTTAGGACAAATTTTACTGTTTGTGACACAGATCATTTGTGTCACAATTGAGAATTGCTAGGTCACATAGTATATTTCATGGTACATATTTTTACTATCCCCACAATATCCCTAAATATCTCCACCCATCTTAAAGAGGGGTGGGGACATTTGCAGTTTTGAACTGTAGTATTGGCTTGATTCTGATAAAACAGTGATGGAGCGAGTGGTGGTGAAAGTGTTTCTTCTTTTACAGGTCACCTTACTTCTGTGAGAGACAGCCAGTGTGTTAAAAAATGTTTTGAATGTTTTCTAAAGAGCAGTAATTGCATGTGGACACAAAATTTGTGTCTTGAACCTGATTGACCGTATCTGTCATTTGAACAAACTGTGAAATGCTGTCCCCTGAACCCTTTCACTGTTGGAAGCCTCAGAATTAAAATTGATCAGTGATGGCTTCTTTTTTTTTTTTAATCTCTGAATTGGTAGAACGTCTTTTCCAAAGGTAATGACACCAAAAATACGAAATTTAATGGAAAACTTAGGGAATTATGCAGACACAAAGTTGGCAGTCTGGGAATAATTTACATATCTGGGATTTTACTCACTTGAAACCTATATGAAGCCAGTTCCATTACCCAATTTGGCCAAATTCTTAACTTTTTTGCTAGAATGCCTTTCATTTTATTGATTGAGCACAAGAAATCACCTGTTCAACTATCAGAACTAACCTACAAAGTGCACAGAAGTTAGTATTTTTGGCTAATTTTACACAAAATTAAAATAAAAAACACGTAGACTTTCCAGACACTAAAGTAACATGTCCTCTGTTCATTAATCACGTTACTGAGGCCTCTTTATATCACACTTGCCCTCATTTTTTAATTCATTATTAAACAAAGAATCAAAGATTTACCCTATTTCTCAGAAAATAAGATATAACTAGGAATGATTGCTCATGGTTTATGGCTTCCCAGTAACTGAATTGTACCTAGTAAAAACCCATAAAACAGGAGTTATATGGGGAGCTTAATCATCCTCGGGAAAATAGTCAAAAATCAAATATTTCGAGATATTTCTGATGCTGATACGAATCAAAATTATCTCTATTACAGTGGTATGTCTTCCATTCTATCAAACAGTACTAAGAAACAGCCAATAAAACCATAAAAACCATCCTTGAAAATGCCTCAAATTCACTATTTTTAAGCAAACACAAGGTTAGAGGTTTGCTTTCCCATATTATAATCTGGGGAATGTTGATTTTTTAAAACGCACTTGCTACCTTCCAGAGGTAGGGCGAGCCCTGAAGAGAGGAAACTCATTCACTGTCATTCATTCAATATTTATTTGCCAGAAGTGTGTTGATGTCACATTTCAGATGGCCCTCTGAATCGCAACATCCTCAGTCCTCCTTTAGAGTGCACGCTCTGTACCTCCCAATTCCATGATTGAAGTCTAGCTAACCATTTTTCCGAAACCCTTCACGTTACGCTACTCACACTCCAACAGCATGTCAGATCACAAAAACCACTTGCCTCTGCTCACTCTGATCTAACATGCTCACATAAGCTTGTTGGATGTTAACCTAACGTATACAGGAAGGCCCCGCTTTACGGCGTTTCACTTTACGGCGTTCCGCTAATACGGACATTTCAAATTATGACCAAAACTCACTATACGGCTCCCCCCACCTGACTTTCTAATACGGTCACCGTGCCCCACCCTGTTTGTTTACATTCTCCATGAGCTCAGTAAGCACTAAGTCTCTCCATTTTGTCTGGAAACTCCAAAATTTCAAATGTTTTTAAAAGTTATTTCATATTTTATATATACTCTGATAATTATACTTATGTATACCTGTACCTAATAAACTTACATACATCGAGTCATTTAAATGTCGTATATTACGTTAATATACACATTTTCATTAATCCATCCATGATATTTTTTTCAAAATTATATAATAAACACGATTGCATAACATATAAATAAGATAAATACACCCACAGTAGAATAAATAAACATAATGTGAGATGTGAGCAGACGACTTCCACAAGTGACGCCATAATAACAATACTCACCGAGTCTCATTAAATGTCGTATATTACGGTAATATACACATTTTCATTAATCCATCCATGATATTTTTTTCAAAATTATATAATAACACAAATGCATAACATATAAATAAGATAAATACACCCACAGTAGAATAAATAAACATAATGTGAGATGTGAGCAGACGACTTCCACAAGTGAGGCCATAATAACAATAGTCACCGAGTCTCATTAAATGTCGTATATTACGGTAATATACACATATTCATTAATCCAGCCATGATATTTTTTTCAAAATTATATAATAAACACGATACATAACATAAAAAGATGATAATACACCCCACAATAGAATAAATAAACATAAATATAAGATGTGGGAGCCTGGTTTGTTTACATAACTCTGCGCCTGTTACCTCTCATGTACTCATTCTTTCTCTCCTCATTTATTCGTTTTATCTCATTTACTTACTCCTGACCCTACATTAAGACTACAAATATTTAAGGTAAGTAATGAGTGAACTGTATATACATTTTTATCGCTCTGGGATGCTTAAATATCACAGAATAGTATGTGTGGGGGGGGTGGCCTGGTGAGGTAGCCTGGCTATTACAATACATACCACACTTGATTTCTTACAATAAATACTACTTGTCTCACCCTAGATTAAGACTATAAATATTTTAAGGTAAGTAATGAGTGCACTATGTGTGTATTGTACTTTTTTATTGTTTTTTGATGCCTGGTTCTATTGCTAACATAATATATGTTAGTGTAAACTTGTTATCTAGTGTTTGTATGCATTTGTAAGTGGAAAAAAAGGGTGTTCCACTTTACGGCGGTTTCCGCTTTACGGCGGTAGCCTGGAACCTAACCCGCCGTATAAGTGGGGCCTTCCTGTATATGTATGTTCCCTCGCCCAGTGCCCCGAATATTTTGAAAAAATAAAAAAATATTTTTTTTATATATAGAAATAAAGAGAACATTTTTCTAAGTGTTATAGGATTAAAATGAAAAAAATTAGGGTCAGTACTTACCAAGATATGAGGCTGCAAAACTTAATGCTCACCTGACGGCAAAGTGGAGTCCTGCACTTGCAGAAGTGTTGCTGATATACCTTTTTTTTTTTTTCTTCTCATTTTTATATTATTTTGTATAATTTTTATCTTCTGATAATTACAATTTAGAGTAGTTCTTGTCATTTCATAACCAATCTTTGTTCTAACACTAATATTAGGTACTGAAATTGTACTCAAATTATCACAAACACACGGACAGGTGGACATTTACACCTACCTTGGTCATTTACTGTTGTTTAGGAATATATAAAACATATATATAGGTCCCAGCAATGTTTTGAATACACGGGAGTATATAATAATAATAATAATAAGAAGAAGAACCTAGGTAGTAGGTTGGTAGACAGCAACCACCCAGGGAGGTACTACCGTCCTGCCAAGTGAGTGTAAAACGAAAGCCTGTAATTGTTTTACATGATGGTAGGATTGCTGGTGTCCATTTTTCTGTCTCATGAACATGCAAGATTTCAGGTATGTCTTGCTACTTCTACTTACACTTAGGTAACACTACACATACATGTACAAGCATATATATACACACCCTCTGGGTTTTCTTCTATTTTGTTTCTAGTTCTTGTTCTTGTTTATTTCTTCTTATCTCCATGGGGAAGTGGAACAGAATTCTTCCTCCGTAAGCCATGCGTGTTGTAAGAGGCGACTAAAATGCCGGGAGCAAGGGGCTAGTAACCCCTTCTGCTGTATATATTACTAAATGTAAAAGGAGAAACTTTTGTTTTTCCTTTTGGGCCACCCCGCCTCGGTGGGATACGGCCGGTGTGTTGAAAGAAAAGAAGAAGAAGAAGAATAAGTTCCCCTGAAGCATGATGTAAGACAAGTGTCAGTGACAAGGGCAGGGTGCAGTGATAAGATAAGTGGTGACATTTGATTAGTGCCTGGGAGGGTGCAGTGATAAGATGAGATAAGGGGGTGACATTTGATGAGTGCTGGCATGGTGCAGTGATAAGTTGAGATGAGGGATGACATTTGATGAGCATCAGCATCTCTGTCTCTGCTTATCTGTCTCTCAGTCTGCTTGTCTCTTTCTGTCTCTCTCTCTCTGTCTCAGAAAGAGCCACTGTGAACCAACAGGTATTCTTACGCATTGTATCTACAAGCACAGTATAGCACTTTGGATTTTTTGGGTTATCCTAGGTAATTTACACAATGTATAATTGTATTTATGTGTACCTTGTGAGATAGAAAGAGATAGAGACAGACAAATAGATTGGGGAAGTGCAAAGTAGATCGCAGACGGAGTACAGTCTAGGGTGACAGAAACTACAAACCTCACTCAAGGAAAAAGATCTTGGGGTGAGTATAACAGGCACATCTCCTGAGGCGCACATCAACCAGATAACTGCTGCAGCATATGGGCGCCTAGCAAACCTAAGAACAGCATTCTGCCATCTTAATAAGGAATTGTTCAGGACCCTGTACACTGTGTATGTT